GCTTCTGTCAGTCTGCCCCAGGGCAGCTGTGGCTACAACCGTAGCTGCCTCCACCAGTGTGTGAGAGTGAATGAATAGTGGCATTGTAAAGCGCTGTATAAATCCAATCCATTATTATTTGTGGTCAATTAGACCGTTGAAGTGCAACATTATCATATTATTTGTGTTCTTACCCAACCAGGAAACGGTTAGCTTAGCAGTGCGAAACGGGCAAGTCATTATGTCGTTTGTTTCAACAATATGGAACCCAGACAACAAAACCAGCCGATTTTGTCAAGTTTTTCCTGAGCTTTTATAATATTTTTTACACTTATATTATAACCTGTATGGTAGTAAACATCAGAGTGCTTGTAGTCGATGAGAACTGGACAGGGCCAGCCAAGTGATTCCTTTGCTAAGCTGAAACTGCAAAGACACAAAAGTGTCTCTTTAACTCTTAACCGTTGGTAAACATCATTCATGTATTTACAGATTTTACTGTAGGGGTGCATGGTGGAACAGTGGTTAACATTGTCACCTCTCAGCATAAGGGTTCAACCCTGCTGCCCACCTGGGCCTTTGTGTGCATGTTCTCCCTATGACATTAATCTGAGTGTCGTTCCTACTGTTTCAGCTTTGTGATAACATGCAAACTACCCATTGTACACCCTGCGTGTGCTGGAATAGGCTCCAGCCTTGAAAATGGATGGGTTTTATCGTACACTCATGACTGAAGTGAAGTGATCGTCAGGGGTAGACTGGATCTTCTGACAGGCCGCCCTGATGTCCTGCACGGTGGAGTGAAGGTCACTCAGCTCTGTTGTAATGGCCCTCTGGTTCACTGTCACGGGGAAATATTGGAGATGAGGTAACAAACCCATTGAAACTCAAAGGAAATATGCAAATCAAACTGTAACAACAGCATAAAATATGCAAAAGAAGCACACCTGATTCTACTGTATATTAACTATTAACTAAGAGCATTGTACCTTTAGCTGCCAGAGGCACTGTTGTGAGGTCTCTGGGAAAGCTGAGCAGCTCTGGGAAGTGTTGGCACAAAGACTTGGCCAAAATGTGGAGAAAGGTGGATTTCCCGTCTACTGTTTTGGTTGTGCTTAGCTAAGAGACAGAAGGAGAAGCGCATGAGCGACTAAACACTGAACTCGAGCTTACCGTGTTGAAGGCACAGACATCCGTGCTGTACCTCAGTTAGGAAGTTGATCTTAAAACTGGTCGTCCTGTTGCTCTTCGGCTGCCCGTTGTTCAGGTAATTTCCCATTGCAAGAACAAACTGTTGGTAAAGTAAAGCCGTAAGTATTCACTGCTAACACAGATATTCACAGATTTATTTTCATTTCGACTGCTCATTTCATACCTCCAGGATCTTGGCTAGTTTCTTGCTGCTCCTGAGCTCCACTGAAGCCTTGTAGATGTAATCGTACGCGATCTTCATCTCCTCCGTCCTCTCCTGTAGGGTCGTTTTAAAGTAGAGGCTCCGCAGGCGAGTCTTATAATCAGGCACCATTAGCATCTGAAACACAATGTTAAATCATTTAGTTTTACTCTTTAAAACATCTCCGATCATCTCTGACATTTTTCCCCTCACAGTCACCTGGAAAATGAACTGGTCCGGCTCGCTCAGCTTGCCCGGGTCCTGATCAAACTGTTCGTACTGTTTCACCTCTTCTTCGTCTGGGGCATACAGCAGCAGCTGCTTGATGTGGGCCGGCTCCAGCCTGTCGGTGGTCATGTTCATCAACACCTGACGCAGCTCTTCGGGGGAGATTTTCAGATGGGCGATGAGGATGGCTGCAGGGAGGAGGAGGAGGGTGAGTAGGCGGGGGAAAATGTGGAGAATTTATGTACCAAAGAGGATCACTGTGTTCCCGCTCTGCTGACAAACCCTTCATCTGCGTGTCTTTCACTCACATTTATTACCATGTGTCTGTAACATGTAGCTCTGAAACCCAGAGTCACATCATAAACCCGCTAATTAACAGTGAATTAGCAGTGCCGTGACAGAAGACAGAAGTTGCTGTGCCAAAGAGTCCAATCTGGATAACTGCAGAGAAGCAAGGCATCATTTTTAGACTTTTCATTGTCTTGCTATATTGCTACACTGGCCTCTATTGTTACGCTGACGTAAGATGACTCTTTGTAATTCTTTGATCAAATTTGGCCAAATCTGATCCACGATCTAGGAAGAACATAAATATACATGTCTTTTTCTTCTTGTAGAGACTCACTCTTTTTCCTTGTGAATGAAACATGAACGACCTGTTGGTACTGTTAGGTTTGCCTACTTCGTGTCTTGCTTGCTGTGTAATTATATTGTCCTCAACGTTCCAGCGAATAGGTTCAAGCTACAAACCTATCAGGTACCAGTTAGCACAAAGCAAATCTAGAGAGAAATCAGTCAGAAGGTATAAGGAGAGAGCAATGATCTGTGGCCAAATCCATTTTCTTTAAGGGCGTTATCTCGCTGTTACTTCTGCGGTGCACTTGTTTTCACCTTCATTCCAACCAAGGGAGGTGAAATAGATTCATGATGGTTTATAACTGATATTCCTGAACTTTAACTCACTTGGATCATCCAGTGTTTCTTTAAGTTATTTGAACAGTGTAACTGTATCCATTACGGTGGCCCTGAGAGGTCAAATGCAACTTAAAATGCAAGCAGGTAAAAAAAAATGCTGCAAAAGCACAGAGCACACATGGGAAGCTGAATAAGTAGTAGCAGAAGTTTAACAGCTGCAGAGTCAGTGGTAATTTTCAACTCTTGATTCTGTTCTATTATCCTTGTTATGCTAATATATATGTCTGAGTGCGCTCTCACTTGAACCCTGCCCTTCGATGCAGCGTTACTACTTCAGGCTAACATGTTTTCATCAGGTTAATCACTTTATCAGTTAATTTTCATCAAGTTTATCAGCTATATATTATCTTGTGGGCACAATGTGGATTTGATACCTTGTCTAAATAGTGTCTATAATTCCTCTTCCACATCAGTGGCGCAGAAAATGTTTGGCCTTCATTAAGTGATGTTCTTTGTCTTCTACTTGTGCAACGTTTTTGTAACCAGCTGTAACTATAAAAGGTATTTTTGCTGCAGTCTCACATCCTTGATCCTCGACCCTTGTGTCGTGTTTGTGTGGCACTCACAGGCATTGTAGGCTTTCTTATGAGACAGAATCTCCACCACGTCTTTCTTTTTCAAGTTCTCTGGCTGGAAGGCTGGCTCTGGAGGAGAGACTGATAATTTTAACAAACAGTGTAAGGATGCGTTCTCCTGGCACCAGGGGTCAATACACAAACTAAGTCACCTAGGCTGAACGTGGCGGGTTGGTGGGTTAATAACACACTCTGCCATTAGAGGCCAATAAAATGATTTTTAATCGGTAACAGCAAGTTGTGTGGTTTGTTTTTTACATAGGCAGATCTGTGTTATTACTGATAATCATGACAGAAAACAAGAGGGGGATATGGTGCCGTATGGAGAATGGATTTGAGGTGCAGGTGAATGAAGCAGCTCCAATGGAGAACATAACTGTGAAGGTACAAACACAACAGGCGACGTCAATAAAGACACACATATATTCAGATGCAATGCAAATGTATCGTTTTAGACACAAAGAGGTTAAGATGACTTGATGTGTATGAATTGATGAAGACGTGACAAAGTTACAAAATCACTCACTGGATCTGCGTTGAGTCCCAAAGTGCAGGTCCAGGTCTAAGTGCTTCACCATGTCGGTGAGCTTGTCATACTCTGAATCCTCCCCGAGCTAAACACAGACAAGGACACACTGTACTCTCCGAAGGCACAGTCAAAATCAGCTTTTTTAACTTATTTCTTTTATGGATGGTGTTCAGATTTTATTCATGTCTGATAGGAATATATGCTGGGATCAAAAAGGCTCAACGTTTTAACATCTAAAAGCAGATCAAGTCTGGCACAGCCTCTGTTTACAAAAACAACATTGTTGCCTTGATGACTCATCGGAGACACATAAGGAGGTTTTTCCAAATATGGATGGAGATATGTAGGAGTAGTGAGAAAACTCACAGTCCGAGTGGGTAGATTCACATGTTGTTTTCTTTTTTTACTGACAGAGCCATACATATACGTATCCGTACAGCCTCTAACCACAGGGTAATGCAAGATAACTGGAGATCACCACTCACCTGACCCCATATTGTTCCCTCAGAGTTCTCCACCTGCTCCCAGCGGAGCCTCTTTACGCTCATGTGGTTAGCGTCTGAGGCTTGCTGGCCCGGCTTGGGCAGCGGAGGTGGGTCACAAGGAGGAGGTAATGGTGGAGGAGGTGGTGGTGGAGCCTTGAAGATGGAAAAACAATTACTTAACACTTAAGCCATAGTGTTCTAGTTCAGCACAAAGACAGCAGTTCTCACTACTGAATCATATTCCCACTGTGCGCATGGACCTCACAAGTTTCTTGTATACTCTTTAGCAGCTGTAGACAAAGAAATTATTACTGCTATTATTAGTTATTTAGGGTATGGGTCTGTCGTGGAAAGCAACAGCAAAACCGGGGACAGAGCACGAGGTTAAGCTAGAAAGAGCATGGCAGGAAGTACTGGGGTTGAGATGGGTTGCAAAGTGGCTTACAGCACACTGTGGACAGGATAAAGAAGATTAAAACAAAATAAATAGATTTCCCACTCAGGTCTATAGGAGAATATCAGCTGAACTGTGGGTTGCAATGAGATCATGTGACCTATCGGGATGAAGTTGATGGTCTGCCTGAATGCTGTTCTCGAGTAATGAAGTCCAATTAAGATCTGAGCCAAACAATCAACTGTATGTGTGATCCCACTTAATAGTGGACACTGATTTTTGAGCAGATGTTCATGTTTTAAATGGATCTGCATGAAAAGAAACAGAGTTTATTAGCTTCTTCCAAAGAGGCCATGTGAGTTGTTTGTTGTCTCTGTGTTTTTGTCTGTTTGTTAGGAGAATTACTGGAAG